CCCGAGCGCACTGGGGGGGGGAGCGTTACGTCATAGGGGGGGGGGGGAGGGGAGCGGGGGCCATGACGCCCGTCATGCCCCAAGCAATAAAGAAACGGGCTCCATTGATTTTCTACACGCTTTTGAAGGATGTGTGCGCTCCATTCTTTTCGGCCTTCCGACGGCCCCCACGATCGTCCCAGAGGCCCCGAAGATGGCCCTATGACGGCCCAAGAAGCTCCAAGACGGCCCCAAGAAGATCCCAAGACGGCCCCATAGGCCCAAAACGGACAAGACAGCCTCCAAGACGGCCCTGAAGCACCCCCAGAGTGCTCCCAGGAGGCAGATCGAGGCGCCCAAGACGGCTTCCGACGGCGTTCCACGGGCCAGGAACGCCCTAAGACAGCCAAGAAGCTTTCCAAGAAGCCCCCAAGAGGCTCAAAGATCCCCTCCAGAGGCCTCCTCCTACGACGGCCCCAAAAGGGCCCGAAGACGGTCCCATAGGCCTCCAAGCGAGCCCCATCACCATCGGGAGCGCCCCGGATCGGCGCCACTGGCCTGGGGCCACTACAATAGCAGGAGCCGTTACTGTTATTGTAGCATGGGGAACAACAACACAGATTGAGCAAGAAGACCTTCCCTGAGAAAACAAACAGGGTGCGAGCCTCGAAGGGGGGCACTTCAATTGAAACAACACTATATGTACCGGTAATGGTGATCAAGAATAACTATTGTTCGTAAGTGAGAGTTCAACAACAACAACAATAACAACAACAACAACAACAACAACAGCAACCACCACCACAACAACAGCAATGTCAGCAGCAACAGCAACAGCAACACACATAATAACAACAACAACAACAACAACAACAACAACAACAACAACAACAACAACAACAACAACAACAACGCAAACAGCAACAACATCAACAACAGCAACAGCAACAGCAACAGCATCAACAACAACATCTACAACAACTACAACAATAACAACAACAACCCTTACAACAAGATCACCAACACCAGCACCACCACCAAGGACAACAACAACAACAACAACAACAACAACAACAGCACCACCACTTGGCGCAGCCCCACAACTGGGGGAAGGAGGGGGAGGCGTGAAGAGACGAGGGGGAGGGAGGAGGATGGTCTACGAGAGAGATTTTCAGGATGGGGTCAGGAGCAAGAGCGCAAGCGGCAGAACCAAACGAGCGTGTTGGGCGGGCGGACCATCATGGGCAGGTCGGGCGGGCGGACCCAGAAGGCCAGGTCTTGCGGGCGGGTCGCCAAAGTGTCAATCCATCATAAGAAATTCTGAGCGATAACGCGATTCCAAAGTACCCCTGTGCCGGCGATACTAATCCCGCAGAGAAAATAATAATTAAATTCGGGGTCCAGGAAGGATGCTATATTTTCCCATAGGTATAGGTGTTAGGACGTCTGGATCGGTCTGTGCCGTTAAGAAAATCAATCGTTCAATGTGTGAGAGATTCGAATAATTGTTAATCGCGAGTTTGCCTTTTGTCGAGAATGCGCGTTTCTCAAAAGTAACAATCAATATTACTCACGGTGCTATGCATGATATGAAGATCAAAACTACGATAAAAACTTTGGGGGTGATAAATAAATTCGGCCGACCCGCCTGTTGCGGACATTCAGATAGAAGGAGCCCCAAGGATAATTAGATGTAAGACTGGAGGGGGGGCTCTTTATTATCGTCGGGCTGCGGTTAAATCGTCAAGAAGCCCATGGCGAGCGCGTGATTCTTGAGTCTCGCGCTACACTCAGAGGAAGTACCACGCGAGAGCGCCATCCCTGCATACATTATGAAGAAACTGCTCGCAAACACGAGATTTTGAAATAAATTGTCAGGAAGTATCCGGCTAGATCGCCAAGGTCGCAATTTGGTGACCATATGACCATATGCTTCCCTGTTAAGCAACAGGGTGCGAGCCCCCGGATGAGCATTTTAGTTGAAAAATGCAATGGTCACCACGGGGACCAACAATACACAGCAGCAACAACAACAGCAACAATGACGACAACAAAAGCAAGCAACCAAACAAACAAAAAACAGCAACGACACGCAACCACAACAACAACAACAACAACAACAACGACGACGACAACAACGACAAACAAACAAACAAACAAACAAAACATACAACCAACAACAACAATCCTTTTGATATTGCTCGCTCAAACCTGCTCGCGCACCAATCAACACGTATATCCGACACCCTCGGTACCCGCCTTCTTCGTCTTCGAGTGTACCCCCTTAGGGGTATATCTTTCTTACCTGAAGCGTGTATTTCGTGCAGCCTCTAAGGCAGGAGAAGAGAGGACGGATGGAAGGAAGTGACATGGGGGAGGGAGAAGGATGTAGCAAGAGAGAGTAGCAGGAATCTCGAGGAAGTCTCGAGCGATAGCGCGATTCCCTAATGAGTCGTTAGGAAATCCACAACGAGAGCGTGATTGATGAGTGTCGAGGGCACGGCGTCTGAATTAAGTGCGAAGAAATTCGACGCGAGAGCGCGATTACTTTATATAAAGGGTGAGGAAGTCCCGCGCGAGAGCGCGATTTTGGAATACATTCTGGGGAAGTATCAGGCGGGAGCCGTTGTTGTTGTAAACCGGGAGCCAGGGGCAAAATTTGGTGAAACCTCAGTTTCCCTCGCAGACGCACGGGGTGCGAGCCCCGGGAGAAGCACTTTAATTGGAACATGTTCATGACTACTGGGGAGGGGGGATCAACAACAATTATTCTGTATAAATGGAACTCGATAACTACAACAACGACAACGACAACAGCAAACAACAACAACCACACCGACAGCAACAACAACACCACCAACATCAACGACGGGTCGCTCCTATCTGCTCACGTGCCAATCAATACGTATATCCCAAATCCTCGGTACCCGCCCACGTCGTCTTCGATCGTACCACCTTGGGTGTATATCTTCCTTACCTGCCACGTGCATTTAGCGCAGCCCCCAAAACAAGGGAAGAGAGGACGGGTGGAAGGGGGAGGGAGAAGAATGGAGCAAGAGAGGAATTAGCAGGAGGGGGGCAAGCAGGTAGAACCAGACGGGCAGATCAGGGGGGCAGACCCATAGCGGGCAGGTCGGGAAGGCGGGCCCAGGCGACCAGGTCGAGCACGCGGGTTGCTGAAACGTGGATCCTGCATGGATCACGAGGACGTCTCGAGCGATAGCGCGATTCCCAAATAAATCGTGAAACAAGCCAAAGCGAGAGCGTGATTCCTGAGCCTCGAGGGCGCATCGTCTCAATAAATTGAGAGAAAATCCCACGCGAGAGCGCGATGCGTACATGAATTGTGAGGAAGTCCCGCGCGAAAGCGCGATTTTGGAACAACCTGTAAGGAAGTATCAGGCGGGAGCCGTTGTTGTTGTAACTCGGGGGCCAGGGGCTGAGCTTCTGAGCCTAGTGACTGTCCCTGGTTCTATAACAAAGAAATCACGGTGCGAGCCCTGGGGGAAGCACTTCATTTGAAAAAACAGAACGGTCACCAGAGGGGAGGGATCAACAATACTTATTCTTTAGGGGTGAGAGTTCAACACCAACGACAATCATTTCAAGACTGCTCGCTCTTACTGACATGCGTGTATTGCATTATGTATACCCCAACCCTCGATAACTACCCGCCCATTTCGTCTTCGATCGCACCCCCTTTCGGGGGGAATGCCTTCCTTGTCGGCCACTGACTGGAGTGCGAGGAACTCTCGAGCGAGAGGGCCACTCTTGAGTTCGGGGGCCTCTCGGGCAAGGGCCTCTGCGAATACATCTTGAGGGCGTATCGAACGAGAGCCCTTGTCGTCGAAGTTGGGCCTCCACTAACTTGACGGATCACGAGTAAGTCACGGTCGAGAGCGCCCTTCCTGAGTTCGGGGGGCCTTCCTGGCCAGGGGCTCTAGGAGTAAATCGTGAGGAAGTATCGAGCAATGGGCCTTTTCGTCGTGGCTGGGCCTCCGTCAACTTGACTGACTTGCGAGAAGTCTCGAGCGAGAGCGCCGTTCCCGAGTTCGGGGGCCTCTCTGGCCAGGGTGTCTCGGAGTAAATCGTGCGGGGGCCATTGTCGTCGTAGCCGGGCCTCCAAGGGTACACTTTTACACTCAAGCCAGCGCTCGCGCGGGAGCCTCGTTTTCAGATAAAATGTAGCCGGCGTAGAGGCGAGAGCGCGCGGAACCGCTTCCGGAGAGATCAACAATAATTATTCTTTATAAATCTCACAACGGCAACCTGCACCGCGGGACTTCATTTCAGCCACGCGCCGAAGGACAGTGAATGACCGTTCGGCCCCCTCACTCTGACCTTCTAATCGCTTCCTCTGGCCGAATACGCCTCCTCATCCACAGGACCCTCCTGTGTTCTCCCTAGCCCTCCTCTTCGTTACACGCATCCTGCGTATGCATCTCATGATCCGCAACTCCCCCCAAATCCAGGAGCCTCTCTTTTCCTGATGTCTTCGAATATACTTGGGCGGTCTCTGGGCAATGTTGGTAAGTTTTGAGTGTTGGGGGGAAGCCCACGTGAGCGCCCCTCTGGCACATCTTGGGGCGATATTTGGGGTATCGTAGGCTATCTTGAGTGTGCCCGAACAAGCGAGGATGCGCAACATCCCAAGAAACCATTTGATTCTGATGACTTGAACTCCTTGGGACCCTGTGGGGAATGATCGCCGGAAAGCTGGACCATTTGGGGGAGCCGCTTCGCAACCAGGTTGAACACAATACCGTTCTCCACATGTTCCTCCTTATCTTGGCAGCGAGCCCGAGGGGGAAACCAGAGCGTGCGGATCTTCTCGGAAGGCTAGGAAGGCCTCCAGCCTTCTGAGAAAACTGATGAAACTTCTCCGTTCTCGGCGCCGGGGCTTCTGAGAAGCCCCGCCGCCTCCGAAGAATGCCTGCCCCTTCTCACTTCCCTCCTGGGCTCGCAACTGGTTATCCTCCTGTTCTTATCTTCATCGTCCTCCTGAACCTCCTCCTGATGTCCTGTTTTCACAGCGCTGGCATGGTCACACAGCTTGAAGAGCAGCTGCGTGGATGCGTGGTCCGCAGACCCCAACTCGGGGTTGAATGGCGCACTGTGAGTTGCGCGAATCCCGATCCACCTTCCCCCTTCCCTCGCACCCCCTCAAGTCCCTCCTGCCACTCCGCTCTTCTCCCCCCTCGTACTATTTTCCGTTCCCTGCTCCTCCTTCATCTCGTGTCCTCCTCCCAGGTACGTGGAGAGGGTCATCGATGAAGGAGGGATGACATAGAGTCATGATGAAGTGCATAAACAGAAAGCTTCGGAGCTCCGCGCTGCTTCCTTGGATCTGCGCTGAACCCTCCTCCCCGGTGCGCGGAGCGTGCTAGGGGCGGCGCCGGAGGCGCCGCCAGGGTGGTCCAGCACAGATGTAAGAAATCTCACTGCACCAACCTTGTAGACGTGCTGCAGCGGATTTTTGCATGGATTTCTGTCACAGCAAAACCCCCAAACAACTATCGAAAAACGAAGCGAATTTCACGTGGATTTTCTGTAGTCTTCATTCCGGCCCCAAACACACACACACACACGAAATGCACTTCGAAATTCGGAACGAAACTCTCCAGGACAATCCGGGTCCATCCCGTTGTTTCCCGATTGAAATCCGCTCTGCAAAGTTGGCGCCATGGAAAATCCGCGGGGAACTCGAAGCTCCAAGGAGAAGCTGCCCTTGTCGCCCGCGATCTGCTCCAAGAAGGCAAGGGCGGGCGAGGAGCTGCGCGCGGTGAGGGCCCGCCGACGGGCCAGGCCGCCTTGTGACAGCAAAGGGGGCCAACCAGGAAGCGCGGAGGAGGAGGTGGTGGTGCCGCGGGCCTCGCCCGACCTGGCCTGCTACAGCAGGTTCGTGCGGCGTGAGCGCGCGCGTAGGTTTTTGACACCGCGTCGACCGTTCAACATTGAATCGATAGCGGCCCCGATCGTTCAAGGCTGAATTCCGTCGGGTCCTATGGCGTTGCCGTGTCCCTTGGTGCCTCCGCGTCGCAGAATTCAACCTTGAACGCCTTCGCCGGCGACGCCGGCGTGCCAACGCCGCACGAACCTACCGTACAGTCCCTTTTCGGGGAGGCGTTCCCTCGTGGCTGCCTCTCGTGTTGGCAGTGACCATCCTCATCCAAAGGAGCGCCGAGGAGACTCCCTGGCAGAAACGCGAGGGAACGCAGGCAGACCCAAGGAATCACCGAGCCCCTTCCGAACCCGCACTGGGCCTAACAGTAGGGGCCCGACCACAAGAAATCTTGCACAAGAAACCAGACCCTAAGACCCCAGGGAGACCACTGGTTGTTTTTGTTGGTGTGGGCGCGTCACGCTTTACATCGATAAACCGTCGAAACCCAAGAAACCCAGGGCACCCTGGAGGCAAGCAGGGTGCTTCTTGGCATGGGCCTCCACTGTGCTAGAATTGCGGGGGTTGGTGGAAGCGATGAGAAGAATAACATAGTGGCAGTAGCGAGCTCTCCTCCTCTCAATGATAGAGCAGCTGTCGTGCTGGCGGTTGAGCCAGACAGCAGGAGCGACAACCAGGAAGCGCTAAGGAGGAGAAGGAGATGGTACAGTGGGGGCCCGATTACAAGAAATCTTCCACAAGAAACCCGACGCTGAGACCCCAGGGCGGCCACTGGTTTTTGTTGTGGGGTCGTAACGCTTTCCATAGCCATCGAAATCCATGTAACCCAGGGCACACTGGAGGCAAGAAGGGTGTTTCTTGGCATGGGCCTCCACTGTGCTAGAATTGCGGGGACTGGTGTAAGCGATGAGAAAAATCACCTGGTGGCAGTAGCGAGCTCTCTTCTTCTCGATGACAAAGAAGCTGTCGCGCTGGCGGTTGAGCCAGATGGCAACCCGGCACCCTCCTCGAGTCGGGATCGGGCGGGCGATCGAACAACTCTGGCGTAGCATAGGAACCAAGAAAGAAGGAAGCCCAGAACCGTCCAACCCCCAGGTGGCAGGTCATACGCGGAGGAGGAGGCGGGAGGGGGAGGAGGAGGAGGAGGAGGAGGAGGAGAAGGAGGAGGACGAGGATAAGGAGCTCGAAGTGAGGTGGCCCTGGGGCACCGTAGCCTCGTTGGTTGGGCTGGAGGCCTGGTGCACCGTGGTGGTGCAGCACTCGAGGACAGTGCAGCTACGAAGCAACACACATTTGATTTCTGGAGGACTTCCAGGAAACTCCGCCGTCCGGGCACCGTGCCACCCCTCGAGTGCAGCGGCTCCGCTTGAAGCGAGTGCCCGATGGGGCAATGCAGCCATGAGGGATGCAATCCGAAGAGCCCTACTAGGCTCAAGCTGGACCGCGGCAGGCCCGAGATGCCCCTCATTACGCTCTCCTTCCATCGCCGCGGCTGGGCCTCACTGGAGCTCACTCGCATCTCTCCAGTGGGCTGCAGGCGTGGTCGAAGGTCCCCGCGACTTGCCCGGGGCGGAGAGGGCGGACCCTCGCGTGGCACCTGGGCTCGAGCCTGGGCCAGGAGGGCCTCAGGCAAGCTCGCTCCGCTTGTCCCACCACGGGGAGGAGGCCACTAGAACACGAGGTGATCCTGCTCCGCAGGCCCCAGCTGGTGTTCTTGGCTTCGCGGGTGGGCCGATGGTCGCTTGAATACTGGAGTGGCTGGCACACCCAGAGACGCAATGCGAGATTCGAAGCAACATCGGCTCGCCCCTTCCTCGGATGGGTCCGTACGCCACGTTGATACGTCGAGAACAACATTTTGAGCTTCGTCCCAAAATCCGTGTTGGACCCTTGCGGCTGGGACGTCGCGCCGCCTGGATAGCGGATGCGCCAATGCCCCCATCACTGAAATATTGAGATTCATGTCAGAATCCATGCTGCGTCAGACGGAGATTTTAGACACGTCTCAAACTCGATACCCGGATGGGCCAACAGGCCGCTTTGATCATGGCGGACAGGCCCAGCACTCGCAACACCGCACTCGTGGTCTCAAGCTCGAGCAGACGAATATGGAAGACCTCACGTGGAAGACGATGATGATCCTTGAGGGCGGCAACGGTCGGGCGTTGACAGAACTGGGTTTAGTGGGACCTGGTTAGTGATGTGTACTGGGGGTCGCCCCCAAGCCTCGTTCCACTAACCGGAACTGCCGTCACCCGAAAAACACCAGCTACGGCAAACCTGGTTTAGTGATTCTGGCCAATTTAGGGGCTCCGGGGCCCTGCTACTACCCGGGTCCCCTCACCTGGGGTCCTGGCTATACCCGGAACGACGATGACGACCATCGCGAGTACAATTGCCTTCACTTCCCGCGCGGTGGGTGCTCGGCGCCCTCGACGACGCCAGAGGCGCCGCTCAGGAAGGTGCATGGGAACTGGCACCCCGCGCTGGCCAAAGAACTCCGCGCGGACCTCGCAAGACCCACTACGAGAGCGGCGCTCATGCAGCGTACCATGCCTGGGCTCCGTTCGGGTCCCGCTCCAACGCGGTAAGGTGCTTCGTTTGTTCGGCTCCGGGGGCCAGAAAACTATGCACCGTATCATTCCTGGGTCGAGGATCGACGACGCCTCGAGAGGAGCCAACGCGGTACGGTGCATACATGTCGTCCGCGGACCCACTCGAATAACCAATCCGGCCAGCACTCTGGCCGACGCCGCCCGACCCTCTGGTCGACCATGGTTGGGCAAATTTCTCCCACATGCGATCCGGTATGTGCTGGTGCCGATTTGCCTACAGCCAAAGGGGCGAGGGGGAGGAGGAGTAGGATGAGGAGGATAAGGCGGATAACGAAGACGACGAGCAGCAGGCGGTCGGATCAGGCGACGGCCCTGCGCATACGGCAGGTTCCCGACAATTGTGAGAGGCCCGCCACGGAGCTCGGCCAGCTTCGTGTAGTCCACCTTGAGGGTGTTTCCGCCTCCGCCTCCTCCTCCTCCTCCTCCTCATCGTCGTTGTCTTCATCCACCTCTGGCCTATCACCCTTTCTCCACCCTCTTCACGTCCTCCTCCTCCTCCTTCTCCTGCTCCTCCGCCTTCGCGGCCTCTTGCAATGTTGTTTCTCATCCGTCCTCCCTCCCTCCCTCACTTCCTCCATCGACGAGCACTGGCTCAGCCCCTGCTTCCTCGAGAACAGCCTGACACGCAGAGCAAAGAAACGTCGAAGAACAGAGGCTGCATGTCGCGATGCCTCTGGGAGCACTTTCGGGCCTATTGGGAAATGCCTCTTCGGCATGCCTCGGGAATCTCCTCCTCACCCTGGGCGAGGCATAGCGGCGGACACAGGTCTGTCCCCCACATGCACCGGGCCCGCAGCTGGGGGCGCACCACGCAACCACCCCGAGAGCGGGGCGCGGGAGACACGCGAACAGAATGCACGAGCAACTGGGAAGTTAAACCAGCAACATCAGTGTCACAGAGGTTACAACATCTGGATGAAGAGTGAAGCCTCTGGGGTCTCTGGACACTGTAAGCAACTCGGTCGAAATCGAATTTGCCCTGCGCCAGCCTGCTCCCGACCGCTTTGCCCTACTGGAGAGCCCGAGGCACGAAGCCGAAAGATAAACAGGGCGCCGGGCGGCAAAAGCCCCACACAGAAGCCGCAACAAACAACCTGCAAATACCCAAGCTGGGTGGGGACCGTGAAAAAATCTAAGTGAGTGAGCGAGATCGCAGTGAAACAGAACACCCCTCACAAGGACATCGGAGGTTGAGGGGTGAGATCGCAGTGAAACGGAGACCCCCAACCAGGAAATTGTTTCGTTTCGTTCGTGTCGTGCGTGCAGGCGAGGCGAAGGTGCGTGGGCGCGCGAGAGGAATGAACCCGCCGTTGCCAGGGCGAGTCAAGACAAATGGTTCTCCTCCGTCCGGCGGTGGTCCCGTGGTGTTGTCCCGTGGTGTCCGCCGCTGCTAGGGCGAAATCAAGACAAATGATTCTCCTCCGACCGGCGGTGGTCCCGTGGTGTCCCGTGGTGTCCCGCAGTGTCCCGTGGTGTCCGCCGTTGCTAAGGCAAAGTCAAGACAAATGATTCTCCTCCGTCCGGCGATGGCCCCGTGGTGTCCCGTGGTGTCCCGTAGAATGAAATCGATAGTGGCATTGATGAGAACGATAGCGAAATCGATAATGAGATCGATAATGAGATCGATACTGAAGTCGATGTGGTGCCCCGAGGTGTCCCGTGGTGATCCAAAAAAGGAGATCGACAGGTGTCCCGTGATGTCCCGTGGTGTCCCGTTGAGTGGGATCGATCATGAAATCAATAGTGATATCGATACTGAGATCGACGTGGTGTCCCGAAGTGTCCCGTGGTGCCCAAAAAAGTGAGATCGATAGTGAGATCGATTGAAAAATCGACAGGTGTCCCGTGGTGCCCCGTTGACTGAGGTCGATAGTGAAATCGATTGTGAGATCCATACTGGGACCGATCGTGAAATCGAAAGGTGCCCCGCGGTGTCCCGTGGTGCCCCGTTTAATGAGATCGATAGTGGGATCGATGGTGAGATCGACAAGTGTCCCGTGGTGTCCCGTTGAATGAGATTGATAGTGAGATCGACTGAATCAGATGTTGGTTCCCCCCGCTTTCCACCCCCCCACAACCTCCTTATCACCCGACGGGTGGTCGTATAGGTATATTTATGTTTCGTGTTCGTGTCGCGCGCGAGGGCGAAGCGAAGCTGCGTGGGCGGGCGAAAAAAACGAACTCTCCTCTGGCTAAGTCACCGCCGAGCCCAAAGACCGCAACCACCCCCCCGGTTGACTGGCGGTGGCCCGGGGTGTCCCGCGGTGTTGTCTCCATTGTGTCCCGTGGTGTCCCGCGGTGGCCCAGTGTTGTCCTGTGGCGCGGTTGTCCGTGGTGTCTCGTGGTGTCCCGTGAGTTCGATGGTGAGATCGATGGAAAAATCGATCGTGAGATCGATCGTTGAATCGCCAAGTGGGATCGACAATGAGATCGATTGTGGGATCGACAGTGGGACCGATTGAAATATAGATAATGGGTAGGTTGCGATATCGAAAAAGGAACAACAATAATAATAGCGCGAACGAAATCGATCACGATATCGATCGGATGAGATTGACTGAACGATCAATCCCGGTCTCGATCTTGCAACCGACGGTTAGATCGATCGTGAGCTCGAAACTGGCACCAGTAGTAATGTCAATACTACGATACAGTTTGATATTTGCATTGGCATTGGTCGCATGATCGGCAACATGATCGATCGCGAGATCGGTAATTGTACAGATACAGAGGTATCGATTGTAAGACCAGTAGCGATTGTGGAATCGGCCGAATGGTATCGATCGAAAGATCGAACCGATATCGAGCGAGTGAGGTAGGTTGTGTAACCCAGATCGGTTGTGGCGTCGATAATGAGAAGGTCAGTGACATCGATCGCGGGATCAACAGAAGGATCGATCGAGCAATATCGATTGCGGCATCGGAAGTGCAATCGATTGGTTGGGACGCCCCCCCCCCCGAGCCCCCTCCTTGCCCGCGGGGTTGTCGGATAGATAACGGTCGTGGACTTCGCGCCCTCGAGCTCGCAGGCCTGCCCGCGCCCTGGGTGGGCGCCCGCGCGCGCGGCGGCGCGGGCCCCCGCGGGCGGCCGCAGCGGCGCGCGAGCCCAGGCGGGGGCGCGGGAGATCAAGGTCTTCATGCTGCGAGCCGTCCAGGGGCGCGCCCCTCGCGAGCCCCGTGCGCCCGCGGGTTCGCCCCCCCTCCTCACCTGGGGGAACTGGGCCCGGAGGGGCGGGGGGCACCGCGCGCGCCGCGGCCTCCGCCGCGCGCTCGGGCGCCGGCGGAACAGGCTCATCGGCGCGAGGGCAGCGGGCGCGACGAGGCACCGGCGCGCCGTCGCCATTCTGGCGCAGCAGGAAAACTGGGCCCGGCAGCCACCCCTGGCTGGGTGCGCCGTCTGGCTTCGCGCCGCTGGGCGCCGATGGCAGCCGAGCGAAAGCGCGCGAGACTCGCGGGCCGTGAGCAACGTGGAATTTCATAGCTCACGCGAGGGTTCGATCCGGAGGCCCTCGATGAATCCACTGGCGGCGACGCGTTGGGAACCTTCTGCGGGCCCCAAGAGACAAGAGCCCACTCGGCCATTGCCGTAGAACACCCAGGGCGAAGCCCCGCGGATAAACCACCTGCTTAGTAGGGAAAACCACGCATTCAAATTGCCGGCGCCAGCGCCCACGCTGCGCAGAGAGGTCTGCAAGGCCAAGCAAGTTCCCACAGTTGCCTGCCAGGGGGGGGCCGCGGGAGCCCAGCCTCGCAGCAGCAGCAGCAGCAGAACCCTCCTGCGGGGTCTTCAGCGGCATGAGGCTCTTCCAGGGGGCGAGCGCGAAGGCTTCGGCGGGCTCCGGCATGGCATGTAGATGGGGTCCACGCGGAAGCCGGGTGCATCCGGCAAGGGAAGCGTCCTGGATCTGCCGCAAACTCGCGAATCAAACGCGGCGTCAGCCATGGTCCGAAGTTGTTCGCGCGCAATCATGCTCGCGCCCTGGGCGCCAGCGCCGAAGGCAACTGGCGTCTGCGTCGCTGCTCGCGCCACGCGGCCCCCCTAGCGCGAGCTCCGCGGAGGCGCCGAAGGCGCTCCGACATCTGCTTGGCCACAGGCACGCGCGCTGCACGCGCGCGCCTTCTCACAGCTCGCACACTGGATGTCAGCTCCAATGTCTCGCCCCTGCTGCGCTGCGTCAGCTTTAACTGACACGAAGCGTCTCTGTGGCTGCGTCTGCATCTCAAGACTGCTGGCAAGCGCGCGGGGATTATTCATCGGGGGTGACCATCTCGACCCTCTGCAGCTCGCGCTCGACCATGCGCCCCGCCCCCCTCGGAAAACTCACCCCGCGCGCGCCAGGCCCCGCCGCGCCCCTGCAGACTCTCGTCGCCAACGCGCCCGGCGCATGAAGCCGCTGCTTTTTTTTCGAAGAGCGCCCAGGGGCACGACCCAAACGAGCCACAACAAGCAAGTCACCACAGCGCAACCTGGCAAGTCTGTCTCACCGACCAGCGCACCCCAACTGCGCAGACCTTGCCGCTCGAGCATCCGGGGCGCCCTGCGCGCAAGCGCTAGAAGCTTCAACTGCCGGGGCGGGGCGCGCGTTTTGATGGCAGTTGCGACCGGGCGCCCACGCTGAGACCCTCGAGAGCCGCGATAATTCCGCGCGCGTTTTGTTAGCCGACGAGAAGCGTCGCCAAATCGCTGCCCGCGTCGCTGCGATATGCGGCCCCACCAGTCCGTCGCCAAACAGAAAACTAAGCCCGCCACGCGCAACGCCCCGCTTGCCCGACGCGTCGCGTCAGAATCGAAGTTGCCGCCGGTGCGCAAACATACAAACAAACAAACAAACAGCGCGCGTCGGGGCGCTCCGCGCACCGCGCGGGCGGCGGCGGGCCGCGCCCGCCCTTCGCCACCGCGGGGGGGGGATTTCCGATGATCTCGTCAAGGCGCTCGAACGCAGGGGCGCAGGGGCGGGGGCAGAGGCGCGGGGGGGGCAGGGCCATCCTTGGAGGTCCCCGGGCCGCGGGGCGCGAGGGCTGCATTCATTGACGCGCGACCGCTTGTTCCGTTCAGCCTCCAGTAAATCCATCCACCGCGTGAATGTCAGGCGGAGACATGCGACGCTGGACGCGAAGGCCGCCGCGCATCTGGCAACTTGACGCAATTGAATGGGGCGCCCGAGCAGTTGATTGACTGTGATTTGACCCGCTGCCCCCATCGTGCAGTTTGGTGTAGCCGAACGCCTGGCAAGCGTGGGTGCCTGATCGTCGGCAAGCTGCAGGGGTGCTGATGCAGGCGCGTTGCGCGTGTCCGGATGCACAGGATAACCGAGCATTCCGTAGAACTGGTCAGCAACGTCACTGCTGACCTGGGGCGACCCGAAGGGCATTCGCGCGGCGCC